CCTTTGTAAGGATGGGAATGGTTCCAGCTCTTTCAAAGGGATAAGTTGCAACAGCAGACCTTGACATTTCTTTAATGACAGTAATGTTACTTTTTAACAAAGTGGGAAAGAATTATATGAAAAGAAACATTTCCACGTTACTGATCCACATATTCAAAACTCAAAATTCAACTTTACTTTGGCCCCATGGTTCATCATGAAATAGATTTAATGACATAATTGCTGAGCATACTGAATTTTTAGTTAAATCAGGGCCGTGCAGCCAAGTCAACTGTTGTGTACATCACCCTATTTCACTTGGCACATGAACACACACACACACAGAGGCACATGTGTACGTGTATGTATAAACACAAACACATATTTTTAAATATATGTAGTAAAAGCGTCAGAACACTACAAGAAAAGAAAGAAATCTCTTGAGTAAAACAATCGAATGTGTCTATGTTAACCAGAGTCAAGGTCTACTTGTGGTACACAGTGTTTAATGGAGGTTCTGCAAATTATGTAGACTAAATTTTTACACTTAGTTGTGCGTTTCATTCTTATTTTTCTGGCACCTGACTCAGTTTACTGTTGAAACATTCAGTAATGACACTGCATCTAAAATCAATGGAAGCTGTATTTGGAAAACATTGTGCTACAAAATGCTGAGCCTTTCCTGACCTTACCATGTGAGGCCTTGGGTATCTCACATAGGATACTAAATGGGTGCCTTTATTCTTTTTTCCTGTATGCCAAGTTCCTGCCTGCAAATATGCAAAATACAATACCACTGTCTTGAAAAGGTGTAGCAAAAAATAAAATCAGTTAATATAAAGGTAACTCACGTATTTTGTACATCTAAGATACTGAGAAGTATAGCATACCATCTCCATTTCTCTTGCTCTGTTAGCTAGGATTCCTATGGTTGCTTCTAACAGTGTTAGTTATCTAGGTTTACCTGGTTTACCACCAGGTTTAAAGTTCATGAGCCCTTGTGGGTTTTATACCCAGAATCTTAGAAATTTCTATAAATATTAATATGACTGTAACTGCAATGCAGCACCACAGCAGTTATTAAAAAAGCATGTAATTCATTCAAAGTTGTAAGTATGCTAAAAATATAAACCAAGTATGCACTTTACACACCTCTTTTGCCTATAATGTAAATTTCCATTTTAATTGAGAAGTGGTAACTTGCTAATGTTTATAGCAATGGGATCTGAGCCAGAAAGGCTCACAAAACAGAAAGTAAATGTGAAAAAGTTTATAAGAAAGTATTCATTTTAAGCTTGCCCAAACATTTTAAAGGTGCAAATTTATTGAAGTGTAAAGTTTGCAGTACTGTGAAGGTGCAGGTTGAAAGATTATCACTAAAGGCAGCTTTAATATTGGTTTCAAATTAGTGGGGCTTTGTCTAGGGTATTTTATAAAGAGAAACTATACTCCTGGCTCAAGGGAAAAAAGTGAAGATGATGACTCTTGCCACAAACCAGTCATAATTTCTGTTTTAAAACAAGATTATAATTGTCTTATCTTCGTAGGAAAGATGTTTGCTCTAATGCTTGAATAAGGTGAAGTTTGAATATCTTTTCTCATAAACTGGTTCCATGACTGATTAAATAGTTACAGAAAGAGAATATAATAACCCCCAGTTCAGAAAATCGACCCCTGAAGTCCTTTTCTCTTGCACAGAAAAGTAATTTTTAAAGTACAAAAGGGGAAGTTCAAATAACACAGAGGTAAACTTGAAAATTGCCATTAACTTCAGTGGAGCTAGGATGTCATCTAAAATATTAGGAATTATAGCTCAGGTTGAAAAGTCATAGAATATTATTAAAAACTAAAAAAAAAAAAAAAGAACCAAATATTCTTCCAGCTCTATGGATACACACTTGAATTGATTCAGACATATCTAATTCAGGGTATGATGTGTAAATCCTAGCTAAAATTGGTGGGATTACTCACTCAGACAAGAACTAGTTTTGTGCATAAGCACTGGAGGGCTAAACCGTAATTGCAGGTAGGTTTTTTTTTTTTTTTCCTCTCCACTTCTGAGAATTAATACTGTAATAAGAAAATAATCTCTGTTTACACAGGACTAACAACATTACATGCTCTGCTTCAGGTTAATTTTAAAATTCAATTCCTGTAAGTAGCTTTGACAGAGGCCCTGGCAGTTTCCTGAATGCATTTGGAGTAGAAGGTCTCTGTCTGGTTCCTTGTGTGGATCTTTATTAAGATCCCAGAATAGACCTTGAACTCAGTCCAAAGCCCTGTATATTCTGAAATCTTTGATGGATAAAGTGTGTTCTGGGAGATGAATCTTTGCTTTCTGTTGTCTACTTGATGAGAATAAAGTAACTTTATAGGAAACCTTCTGGCATGTTGGACCTTATCCAAAAGCTTTCAGACTCTGCAAGAATCTCTCTGTTGGTCTTAATGATCAGATGTATTGCAAGAACCCTGATCCCAAAGCCCTTCAGCGAAGCATCAGCATGTTTTGCCACAAGGTAATATGCCTGGGAAGGGATTGCCACTGCAGTACTACTTTCACTATTAGGATATGATGATTTTCACTTTCAACCACACTAGAGATATTACTTAAGTAATTAATTTTGGACACTGTGAATGGTCTGAACTAGTATTTAAAAGGACTTCATGAAATTTAATATCTACTAAATAGAACAAACTGTAATAAAATGATATTTAAGTTACTGTAAGGACTTTGGGTCAAAGTAAGGAGCTGCATATCTTTTGATCAGCGACCAAGAGGGGAGCTAAAATTCCTTCCTAACTGCTTTGGGATTTCGAGAGGAAATACATTGCTATGCAAACCTCTATTACACACAAGCAGACATATATGGAGACAATTTTGCTTTGAGCCAGACCAGACCATCACACATTGAGTTAGGTTAGAACCAGCTTAGAAAATACTGTGATGGAGTAAAACATTAGTTGTAACTCAGAATCCTGACTACCTGCATGCCTCTTCTGTGCACATTTCCATTACAGTTCTGCACCATGAGCTGACACCCAATTTCTCTATTACAAGTGCCATGCTTGGGTTGTAACTGAGCCTTTTGGACACCTACCCTATTCATGCTCAGTGCCCTTGGCTTGCTTAGCATCGTAGGACAGGGAAGTTTGGAGTCTGATGTTATAAACGGTGCTATTGCTCTCTTGAAGTTATACGTAAATGTAACCATTCCCAAGATCAGGGCCTTGATATTTGTTTCTTTTCTTCATCAGGCTAGCACACGTCATTTGACAGAAGCAACTTTTTTACCGAGAGCAAATAAAGCTCCAGCCTTTGCAACAATAGCTGTTTAAAAGGTAGGATCCAGGGCTATTTTGCACTTCACAAGTGACAGAGCAGTGGCAATCTGAAAACTGCTTACCAGAACATTTTTAACTGTAAACACTTCTACAGAGTTTACAGGTACCTGCTCTTAAAGCCCATAAGTAAATGCCTGTAAATCCTCTTTTGCGCAGTCTAGCTCCTGTAAGGAAAGCATTGCCCTTTACTCCTCCTCTGAAGGGATCAAGGCCTCCAACTTGGGCTGTGGTTGGTAGCTGCTATGAACCTGTGAATTCAAAGGAGCTGTAACTGTGCCATGCCTATGGCAAGGTGCACACATGTCCCGAGCACAGGTGAAACACAGCAAGGCTTATGCCGTTCCCGGCGTTTGCTCTCAGAATCTGCCAGGAGCAGCGGTAAAACATCAGACCAGCAGAAGGAGCACGGTGACAGGCTTCCATTGGGGTAACGGGGCTGGGTTTTGCAGCATCACTATTGTACCACTTTGATTGCTGTTCTATCAACTTTTTATTTCCCAAATCCAGACATTTTTGGTCTGCTTTGGTTGACAAGAGGAGTGCCGGCGGAGCGGTGCGTACTGCGCTCACTCAGGAGAGGTTCCGGACCTCAGCGGCGTCCCAGGTCACGGCTTTGCCATGAGCTCTGCCAGGCCTCGGTGCTGCGGTGTGATCACCCCGGGTCCCTCTGGGCCTCTCCGCCCGCTGTGTCCTGCAGCCCCCGCGGCGGCGATGCGCCCAGCAGCATTCCGTGGGGTCCAATTCCACACCGCGGCTGGCGAGGGTCCCCGCGGGGAGGCACCTCACGCTCCTCGCTTCGTCCAAGCGTTCCCGTTTCCTGGGCTGGGCGCGGGGCCGCCTCCAGCCCCGGCACAGCGGAACCTCGCGGGACGCACCACGAGATGCAGCAGGGCGGCCAAGCGCGGCCGTGGGGCGGTGCTGCGAGCGCACATGTGCCCGGCCCGCCCGCCCGGCAGGCACCACCCCTGCGCCCGCCCCCTCCCCGGCCGGACTAGGAGCGCCGCGGCGGGGCCTCCCCGGCTGCTACCACGGCCATCGGCTCCCGCCGCCCGGCGCCGGGCAGCGCTGCTGCCAGGAAGCGGCCCGGCCGCCGCGCACCCGCCTGCGGCCGGGCATGAGCTCCGGCTCCCCCGGCGGCCGCAGCGGTGCCAGTGGCAGCGGTGGGCGGCGGCGGAGGCGGCGGCGGCGGAGGAGAGTGGGGGCCCGGGGAGCGGCGACCTTTGCAGGGGGCTGTCGCGGCGGGAGATGCGCTTGCTCCCAGCGGCGCCAGGAGCAGCATGTTCCCCGGTGCCGACAGCGCTAGCAGCACGGCCGGGCAGCCCGAGGCGGCGGGGGCCGCCGCCCCCGGCCCGCTGGGCTCGCACGGCCCCGGCGGCGAGGCGCGCCGCCGCAGCGCCCCGGCGGCCGCCGCCGTTGCCGGCGGCGGTGAGGAGGAGGCGGCGGAAGACGAGGAGGATGAGGACCCCGGCTCGTCCCACTTCTTGCTGGCGGCGGGGCTGGGACTGCTGGCAGTGTCTATCGTCCACCTGGGACAGGAGCGGGCCGAGGCGGCGGGCTGCGGGCCGCCGTGCCTGGCACTGCTGCTGCTCCGCCTCGCCCTCTACGCGGGCTGCGCCGCCGCCGCCGCCGCGATGGGCACCCTGATCGTCCTGATGTGCCGCGGCCGCCGCCGCCTGCCTCCGCCGGACTTCGCCGCCGCCGCTCCGGTCCGGCCGGTCGCGGGGGTGAGTAGCGGGAGGGGAGCGGAGCGGAGCGGGCAGTGGCCGCCCTGCCCGCCGGCGGGGACGGAGGTGGCGCGGCCCTCGCTCCGCCGGGGAGAGCCACGCCACCCAAACCTGGTGTCCTGCTGTCCTCCCGTTGCCATAGGAGCGCCCACATTCTGCCCCTCGACGGGGCTTTAAATGGCAAAAGTTGTGCTGGAGGGTAGCACGGGAATAATCTAGACTTTGCTCTCAGAGAGACCTCCGGATTGTGAGAACGCTTGCACGGCAGTTCGCTGTAGATGGTGTCTCAAATCCTTTTCTGCTCCTCCCGTCGAAATGTCATTGGTAAAAGGGCGACTTGCTCAAAGAGGCAGCATAGCGTTGTTTAAGTGCGTTCTCTGAAGTTGGGCAGCTTCAGATAGTGTTATCATAGTGCCAGTGTGTACTCAAGCCATTACAGAGCTCTGTGCAAAAGGGAAACAATTTTATTTTCTGTACGTGCTCTAAAATGTACTAATTGATGAGTGCTTTGTAGCTCACTGCTTAGTATTTTTTGGCTTCTTCTGAATGGGACTGGTAGCACAAAGTATTTGGAAACTTTCCTCCCATCCATGCCCTTGTTACCCATCAAGTGATCCCGTGCTTCGGAGCTGATCCTAGACAGGCCTGAAAAATTAGTACTGGAAATGAGGAGGATCTCCTGCAACTCCTGCTTTGCCATAGGTCACAGGGACGTGGTGTTTAATATCACAGCTGATGACTCTGGTTGGGTGCCCTTGGCATTGGTGAATTTTAGGTGTGTTAGCACGTGAAGTGCTGCCACAGCAGACAGTACTGTGTAAGTGCTGTTTTCATTCAGCAGTGTCACACAGGATACCTGAGAACAATCTGCAAAGGAGAGGAGCATAATTCGTGCCATCTGGGTGTACAGCCTAGGTGTTCTGGTAACCCAGTTTGTTACATTTAGTACATGTACTCTTCTTCTTATCAGCAAATAAATAATGCTGTCACTTATGTGTTCCTGGGACTGCAGCTGGTGCAGCTGAATTTGCAGAAAACAGAGAGTGCTGTCAGGACAGAGTTAGGAATCATTTGCTGATACAGTTGTTGGTCTTTCTGTCTTTTCAATCAAATCAGCTAACAACCTGCAGTAGTGGTTCATTCCTTCATTCCTTGGCCTGTGGAGAGAAAGAGCCTGTGTTTGGGAGGAATACACGTTTCCAGACGTGCGTTTAATGGAATCTGGCAGGATATTGTCAGTAGGGATCATTTGGCCAGGGGCTGATGACCTCAGTGGATAATACAGCTTGCAAAGGTGCATTCAGAATCTATTTGTGGCTGTGTAATATTCATTTTCTCTACTTGGTAGACTTTTTAAAAAATCTTCTTTCCTTTGAAGGCTCAACATCATACTCAGCTTTTTGAAGGGAACGATGAATAAATAATGTGTATGAGCATTAAAGGTGGGAAATGGGGAAGTGAGAAGATGTAATGCACAAAGTAAACAGGTGATAAGCAGAAGCTATCTATTCTGTATGTACTGTGTTATGTGGGTACAGGTAGGGATTGTTTGGCTGGTTTTTGTCATGGGAGTGCTATGGAGTAAATGTGTGTTAAGTGCATAAACACCTTGTAGTAAAGGACTATATGCTTTTGTATTTAACTGCCCTAGACCAAATGGAAAAAAAAAATGCATCAGTTGATCATCAAGACAACAATTCCTGTTGCTTTCAGATTTACAAGATTAAATGTTTCAGTGTTAATGCCATAGCTCCAGTGACATTTATGCACTGGTACAGTTATCTGAACATGTGCATATGCGTTAATTTACATAGTACCAAAAAAATCTAAATGTAAACTTAACAATTGAAATCTCCCTGCTGCCACAATGAGGAGAAACTTCCAGATTCATTAATAGCTAAATAATAAAAATTGATTTAATTTGGGAAGCCAAGATTTGAAGACAAAAAAACCCAAAACATTTGTTGTTCTTTCTTGCCCCTTTTGTGAAAAATGTAATACATAAATCTAGTGAACAGCAGTGAAACTAAAACTGTCCAGAGACAAATACGGTCACTTCAGTTACTCTACCATCTTCACCTTCTTTTTGTGATGTATTACTGTGCATTTGTCTTGATGTTCTCCTCTTGTGTCCATCTACTGGATTTGTATGTGTAAATAGTGAAGACCCACTGTTGTTTTGTTAGCCTAATCTGTTGTGTTTGGATTTATTATAGCTCTGTGGTATGTGTTTGTTGTTTCAGAAGGGAATTGAAATCTGGCATTTAAAATTCACTACTAAAGCAGCAGTACCTGCTACAACCCTTTTTCCAGGATTGGTTTTCTACCCTCTCTCTGATTCAATTAAAATTTTTCTTTCCTCCCTCTTTGCACCCTTCTCAGAATTTAACCTGGCTCTACAAAAGGGACAGCCAAAAAAGGAGTGAGGTATTTTACCTTTCTATTTAGAAGATGTAATTCCAGGCATCTTGATCAGGTTTTTCATGCCTTTAATTTATAGTTTTGTTGATTTTCTGATACGGAGTGGCTTCAGGACTGCAAAGCTTCTTGACAGACTTTTTCTGAACAAAATGTTCTATATGTGTAGCAAACTTCCTAATTGGGGCTTCAGCAATGTGTAGGTGAAGAAAATAAAATTGTATAGATAGGCATCATATAGAAATGAAGGCCATTCACTGAAATGTTTCTTCCAAAGTTTCCTGCATACATTTATCTCTGAAAATTTTGTAGGTTAATCTTTTTATTATACATCCTATTGCATTTACACTGCTTTATTTATAATTCATTTGTTACTCTCATGTTTTTCATAGAGCCTTATGATCCTGTTGTCTTTTCTGGGAGCCAGTAGTAGGATGACTGTAAAGGTATAATTTCTTCAGCCTTGTGTCTTTTCCTCCAGAATAGGGAAGAACCCTCTGTTGGTCTAATAATTAGGAAAAAGCTAAAAAAAAAAAGTTATTATGACTGGCATCTTACTCTGCATATGTTGTATATATGAACCGTAGGCAGATAGGTTCACTTTTCATTCTTTGAGTGATTTTCACATTGAGGTTAACAAATGAGGAAACACTAAGTATTCAGTAATAAATATTTACTCTAGTGGGAGTCAGACTCAGCTCTTGGAAAGTGAGTGGGAGTACTCTTGATCAACATCAAAGGGACTTGGATCAATTCCCTTATCCTGCGCTGAAAAAAGGGAGACTTTTTGTACATTCTCAGCTACTATGTGTGAGTTCAATGCTGTGAATTTTCTTGGACCTGTTCATGCAAGGGAGTAACTTGGGTGAGGAAGTGCTGTGTTGTAGATTCTGATTTCATAAGAACAAGGTGCATGCCTTTTCTTCATTGTACTTGAACTTGCTACCAGAAAAGCCATCTTTTTGAAAGTGAAGCTGTGCTTTGTCCTAAATATTGTTCGTGTAACCTCTTTGGGACTTGAAAGGTGACGACCTCCTGCTAAAGTCAGGTATCTCAGCAAGAACATTTGAAATCTGCTGAGAACTGCAAAGCAAGCTGTGTGATTTATATCCCTATGATAAGGTGTGCTTTCAGTGTAGTTTTTGTGTGAGGGACATCTCTGTTTACAGAATATGTCTGGGCAGTCTCCTGGCTTCCACATTTCATTGCTAAGAGAGGTGTACAGGCAAGTCGTAAGAATGTTGTACTTACTACTTTAAGTACGTGCAGGCATTAATAATATTGGTAAATAGTTTCTACTGATATTGAAATAGTGGGAATTGAATGATTCCTTTACATTTTTTTCAGGTATATTTCAGCACTTCTCAGGAGCTGTTGTAGGACCAGATTATTTGTGGTGGAGGAGAACAGGAAAATGCTAGACAGCAAAAAGGCATGATGACCCAATTGTACTTTTAGTAAAAGCCTCTGTCTCAAAGGGCATTTTTAATTCTCGAGTGTCAGTGGACTTGCTCATAGCAAAGATAGCCCTGGTTAAAACATGTGTCACCTTTTTAAATGCAAGGTTGCTCCCTACACTGCTTTTAACTTGCATCTGTAGAGGAGATGGCTTTGACTCATGCGAAGAACCATGTTAACCAAGTCAGTGGGAAGGGAAAGGAAAAGACTTTTTCCCACATTTCCAGTATGAGTTGTTTCTCTGCCAAAGAAACCTGGCAGGACAGAGTTTTCTTTTCTGCATATTGTTTTGACTCAGATTCAAAGCAAAAGCTCTGAGTAATAGAGGAATAGGTTATCAACTTCATTTAAATAATGCTAAACCCAAGGACTGTTTATTAGATTTAAATGCTGCATTTTAAATTCAGATTAAATAAATTATATTTTGTATAGAGAATGATCCACCTAGTCTGTCTGCAGCACTAATAGAATGGTAATAAATGTGCTTTTTTCCAGTGAAAAGGTACATTGATTCTAATGCCCTGGTTTTAGTTTCTTACAATTAGCAGTTGTCAATGATTTTGAGTATTCCTTTAAAACTCTGCTCCTGACATATTTGATCACTCTTGTTCACTAGTGTTTAATAGCTCTTAATTTTCAGGAGTAGTTTACTCTTGCATTCTATCCCTGAGGGAGACATACGTGATCGTGTTTTAAGTTCCTTAACATTTGTTCCATCTTTGAACATGAATTTTTTTTGTGAGTCTGGCATTAATGGGAGGGCATAAGTAAATCTTTTCTCATTGGATCAGGTAGCCAATGAAATATCTGGATCCTGGAACATAGTACTGTTTTTTTAATTTAAGCCCTAGGAGGATGGGCAGTGAGATTACCAGAAATGGTCTGAGTGATATTAATGGGATGGCAGCTTAGCCTTGGTTGAGTATCTGCCACGGTATCCAAGCCGAGTGTTCTGCTCTTTGTGAGGAACACAAGGGAAGCAGAGGAGAAGGACACACTGTTTTATTTTCCTTCACTGCTGGACTTTTGCCATGAGATGAAGCTTGCACAGGTAAACTTGCAGGAGCCTCAGCAGCTGTGGGAAGTGGAAGGTTTGTCATCTGTAGGCATCAATTTTAAGTGGG